GGAGCTACACCAACCCTATCACGAATATATTCATTCCGCATTTTGTCTCTAAGTGTAAAGCCACTCATCCACCTAATCATTCTCATCTCGGCAACACTTAACTTATTATTATGCTTCTCTTTTAAAGGCCAACATTCAGCGCCATAGAGCATTGCAGGTCTCACCACCGTTTTATAAAATTTTCCTTTATGTCTTGTGGTACTTTTCTATCACACAAAAGGCCCGAAGCATTCCTCCACTTCAACCAACCAACTTGAATTCTACTATTAACATCCCCATCTATATCACCATCGCTTTGGACAACGGACCCAAGATATCTAAATCGTTCACACCTTTTAAAAAGTTGGTTGATTCCATAAATCATTCTCATCTCAGACCCAAGATATCTAAATCAACAACGGAATCAGTTGTTGATTCCATAAATGATGCAATAATTCCTTTAGACTCCAATGTAGACCTCCATAATTCAAGTTTTTCCTGGGCTTTTTCTCTCGTTTTATCCACGAGAAGAATATCATCAGCAAAAAGCATACACCAAGGTACATCCTCTTGTAGATGTCCAGTAAGACCATCCATAACTAAAGCAAAAAGATATGGGCTTAAAGTCGATCCCTGATGTAATCCAACAGAACGAGGAAAATATTTTGTCAATCCTCCTTCAGTTTGAACACAAGTAACAGCTCTAGTATACATATCTTTAATGACTTGAATATAAAAACCTTAAAAAGAAAAAAATTAATTAAGGTAAGCGCATACACAAAATAAAAGATGCATTCACTAGTCTAGGAATAAAGTATTCACAATTACTTGAAGTTTGACATAAAAAAGAAAGTCAGGGGATATCCACGTCCTATAATTCCTTTAGAAACTTCATGATGATAGAAGTTATCGAATTACATACAACAACAATTCAAAGACAAACAAATTTTTAGTTATTAAAAATATGTCTAGCCATATTGCTATATTTATTCAATACACTAAGTCATTTCAAATGCCAGACCTTCCCTAACATTAAACAAGTAGCAGATTTAAGTGTGTACTGAATTTAATTAAAGCATGGCATGATTCACGATTTTCATAGGAAGTTCATACTTATTGATACTAATAAGAATATCTTTCATGCTAAAATCTCTGAGAAGTATGCCAATAAATAATGTTTTCTGTTCCAATGTGTGAGACGTGTTCAAAATGTCTTAAAATGAGTGGGCATGCTTACTTAAAGTTCTCGAAGTTAAATTCAATCTTACCATATGCAAGCACCTAGACAAGAACGTTTCAAAAAAAAATGATAGATTAAAGAAAAAAATAGCCTCACATGACATGCCAAACAACCCTCAAAAAAAAAAAATTTTGCAAGACAGCGAAAAAAATAGTACAAGGAAACATAAATCCAAAAGGCTAATAAATTACTTCAACAAATACCGTAAGTGTGAAATAAACTTTCAGGGAGCAAAAAATAAAAAATAAAAAATAAATCTTTACATGACATGCATAAAAGCAAGTTTCGGAATGTCAAAAAAAGTGAACTTATTTACCTGTAGACAACGCCAATGTTAGGCGTCATAAGTTGAATCTTCTGGACCTGCAGTTAGTTTGGAGCGAGAAAATAAAAAGAACTCTGAGTCGGAATACAAAATTATAAAGTTCAACTGAAATAATCTCATCATTCTATACCAAAGAAGTAAAACGTATGCACGCTTATTGAGGTGAACTGCACCATCAAAAAGTATTATGACCATTAAAATAGTCAAAGGAGAGTGGTGAGAGACAAAGTGTTTTAAATGTGTTTTTTTTAATAAGAAATCAATATCTATAAAGTGTATAAAATGCACACCTATGTAAGGTAAAAAAATACCCGTGATGTTTACCAAACAAGCAAAAATCATATCTGCAATGCATTAAACACAAAACCCTAAAACTTTGGCAAAGAGATCATCCAAAACAGGTAATATATGAGAATTAACACTCAGAAAACATTATTTATAAAAAGAAAGTCTCTTAATAATAAATTGAAAGAACCAAATGTGATACAACCCAGTTGTATAAAATCATATAAATACACTTTACATTAAATAATTTAAAAAGAATATAAGAAAACAAGAAAAAAAAGAGTGAAGATACATGGGAGCAACTCCGAAGGTTATGGGAGGATGAGAGAATGTACAGTGAGACAACAATCACATTTAAAAAATGGAGTAATCACCAAATAGGATTTTGTAGTGGAGTACAACTAGGTTTGATCACTTGTTGTTGATTATTCACAATGGTGAAAGAGAGAGAGGTGTGCAACAACAAAAAAAAAAGGAAGCCAATGTCAAAATGGTGGAGGAGATATAGAAATTGAAGTAGGGGGGAGAATTAAGCTGAAATAATTGTGTGTCCAGAGTATGCAGCAGGAGGGTAACACATTTTGAAGTCATGCTCTTTGTGAGGATGTGAAATAAAGAATAAAAATTGCTCATAACATAAAGGATTATGTTCATCAAATAGTTGCAATAGAAGAGGAATTATTTAGCATCTCCCAATTCTCTTCCAATTTTCTGATGAACTTTTTCATCCTTTGGTTCTTATATAAGACATTTGTTAATTTCTAAGATTGCATCTTTGCTTAACATGTTTTGAAAAGGACTGTAAAGAGTATCAAGGCATTCAGGACATTTCTAAGTTCCTCTTCCTTTCTTTTAATGGAGTAGGAAACTTTTTTATCTTCCCATATTTTTCATTTTTGAGATTAAAATCATGATATTGGAACCTTTGCTTGACTTTTGGAACCCGGAGAACTGAAATGAATTGATTGTAGATGCATCACCATTTTTAGTTTGTGTATCAAGTATTTTATTCACCAATAACTAAACCTATACAATATATGTAACATGATTACATTTCTATAAAATTTACCTATAAATCTCAATGACATTATCCTATTACATAACACTTCTATGACACTTATCATCCATTTTAACCACTAAGCCTTTACTCCAAACATTATAAAAATCATGTTTTCCTCTTAAACTAAAACCACATTATCGTCACTTTGAATGCATCTAACAAGACATGGTATAAAAATATATAGTATGAGGCCTGCGACAATCCTTTCTTGACCTCATTGGATAATACATCAGGCTTATACCTCACATACTGTGAGGTCTGCCTCAAGACGCACCTTGCCTTAGTTCTAATCAGGAGTATTCAATTTAAAATAAGCTTTTTCATAAAATAAATATAAGTAAAATAATTATAATAAATATTCATCACTTACCCATATAATACACGACTAAAAATGAAATTGAAATTATTCTTATCAATCAACATAGCCATTGAATTAAAATTTGATAAATAATCTTATTAATTAATATTTAAAAGAAGATTGAAATTTATAATGAGGAGAAATGATAGAATATGGAACAACTGATGATGTGATGAGGGAGAAAGTAAATAGTTAATTTATTAATAAAAGCGATGAAAATTTTTTTATGTAAAAATCTTAAAATTAGTGATTTGTTATATTCTTAATTTGATAGATGACAGTAGGAGTTTGAGAGAGACTAATTGAATCAAACTTATTTTGAATTGTTATACTATGTCTTATTTTGATGTTTGTATAATCTTTTTCATTTTATGATTTGGTGTCAGGATGTTAGCATGCTGCTTACTATAAATAATTTATTGATTTTACCATGTAAAGATGTTAAATATGTTATATTTTAACTTATTAGAAGGTTAAAATTTTAATATGTTACTTTTTACTACATATTGTGAACTTAGTATAATACTTATTCTTTGCGTGATTTGTTATTTTTGAGACTTACGCCTCAAAATGACTAGCTACATGAAAAAAAAATGTCTCCACGCCCACTTGCGAAATTATAAGCTTTAACATAATCATCTCAGCAATGTCACTTTTCATGCATAGAACATAATCAAAACCTATATATCTCATATATTTGCCTAAGCTACTTTATTTAACTCAATTATTCTTCTGATGTATCAAACCTATTACATAAAATCATTAAAGTTGTAGTTTTTGGCTTGATCTCTACCCTCATTGCAAGACTTCTAGAATCCTTACAATGCTTGTAGATTAACATAATTTGATTTTTGCCTTTCCTTAAAAATCATAATTCTTTTATTTATAACCTTTTCATATCTCCTCGCCTCGCTAAATCTCTTTACTTACATATTATATCTTCGAAGGTTTAACAAAGCACCCAAGGCAATTATTAGTTTTTAATATTTTCTTTATACTATTAAGATACACATCGTTAACTAATAATAGATTCTGTATAGTCAAAATTTCTACTATAATAACCTTATAAACTTTGCCCAATAATCTAATTTCTACTATAATAACCTTATAAACTTTGCCCAAATAAAAAAAAATTTACTTACATTGTAATAAAAAGGAGTCAATTTGTGATTTGGGCATTCTACTCTTAAAAGCAAAAAAATGTTCTCATCTATTAGAGTATGGGATTGCAATTGCAAGGCCATAACATACTTCATGATCAAATATAACTTCTCCAATAGCATTCATATCTTTATTCCTACCATCATGCATCTTCTCATACACTAACTTAATAGAAACTATGCATCAATTTAATTTGCCACTTATAATTATAATACCATCATCAATTATATATATTACATACATTTCTTATCAAACTAGCTATAATCCAATTAAAAGTGCAAAAGAACTAACCATATTTATAATAGCATCACCAATAAGTAATATATACTTTTTAAATTAGTTATAATCCAATTAAAAGTGCATAAGCACTAATTATATTTATAATAGCATCAAAAATAAGTAATATATTTTCATTCTTCATTCATCCATTATTTTCATCTTTCAACTCTTTTTCAACTCTATCACTACTGCTAATGATTAATCACAATTGTATTAAGTTGGGCATGATATTTGATGATGTCATTCCATGTCATTCCAATCAAACATCTCATATTTCTCACCACAACAAGGTTTAGATGCGGCGCATCCATTAAAAGCATCTTCGCAAACATTGCCAATTAAAAATCACAAGCATTCTTCATACATCTTCCAAACATGCAATAGCTTAATCATAGCTGGGTTAAGTGGCTTTAAAAAAATAAATATTACCTTTTCACATTGCATTTTAACAACAAAAATAATAATAGAACATAAAACACTATAAAGACAAGGAAAAAAAAACATAGACGTGTGCTTTACAGCAGAATCGGAAAATGAAAAATAAAAAAAAATGCACTTCTCAAAAGATAATTTGGAAATTTACATAAATATCACACAATTCTTATGTATTTACTTATTTAACACCCAAGTTTTATATTTATACTTATAACACCTTGGTGTCATAAATCTACACAATAAATGGTGTATTTTATTTTAAAAAAAGTAGTGATGGCACGTTTTTTGATGTGATATTAAAGATTTGAGAGGTATCCATATAAATATGAACGGATACGTGTTAGATATGTAAATGTATATAAATTGTGTGGTATGTATGAAATGCCACAAGATAATTTATTCGGCAGGAAGTTAATAATCAACTTCCTTAAAAAAATTAAGGTGGCAATGCTTTTCTCTCCTACTGGCATAACTGAAACCAAGTTCAGCATTCAGATAAAGAAACAAGAAGCATTGATTTAAACTCGGAAAACACAACTTCAAATAAGAAAAAAAAAAGTTAGCAATTATCTGACAATGGGTATAATTTTATGCTTACAGATGTTTCATCCACTAAAATTGAAGGCAGCTTCTTCTCGGTTGCAATAACAACACCATTTGCGGCTGCAGCAATCTCATCAAGAGTCAATAAGATCATGATGGAAAGAAATAGAAAACAGAATGGAATGTTTGTAAAATATTTATAAGAATCAAGAAGAAGCTTTCAAGTAGAGTTGGATCTTCTGAATAACGTCCATCAAATCATTTTTGCTTCTTCATTTTTATTTGAATGGGAGATTTATATATGTGGCAGACAATTCTTATGTATTTACATATCTCACACCTAAACTTTTATAATTACATATATAGCATTTTGGTGCTTTAAACTTATGCATGAAAAATGTGTAATTCACTTTTAAAAAGTGATAATAATTCCATTTCTGACGTGTATTAAAGGTTTGAGTGCTATGCGTGTAAAATGAAAGTTAAGTGTGACATATATAAAACAAAAAAATTGTGTGCTATATATGTAAATGCACCTATTAGAATTTGATAACTGACGACTAGCTTTTTTTACAACTTGATACAATTCCTTTGATGCATATGATATTTACACTATTTCATTGTCTTAATTGTTTCTCAAGCGGAACTCTAGCAAATGATAATTCATTACATTATTTTACTTTATTCAAATTAATATTATATTTCAACATCTCAGGCATTAATTTTCTTAGATCATGAGAGATCACGTTGACTTTTTTCCTTGTTTATTGCATGGCAATCATATAGGTTTAAAAGTAGTGGCGGGCTGAAAAACTGCTTCACACTGCTTGGAAAAAAAAGGTAAAATTGTGGATTTCATGCAAAATTTTCATACGCTAAAAATTTAACTTCAGAATCCCACTGGAATAAATGTTTTCATAGTGCATCCATCATTTTTATCTTCTAAAACTATTAAGAAGCCTATTTGAGGAAAAAAGACATCATTCAGTATCTAAGAAGTGATATTTGCTTTCTGATGCAGAAACCTCAATTGGTTGGCAAGAGGTGTTGAGATTTATTCTACTCACAAATCAGGCAGCTTACCATAATGAGGATTTCTCTTTAAGGCGAAAGCTTATATCTGTCCGACACTATCTTATTAGAATATTTTAGCGTAAATCCAAATGGGTTTTATAATTATTAAAATTATTCAAAGGGTTATAAAAATATATTAAATTTTTAAATAAACCTCAGCTTGAATGTGCAATTCCATCTAGTATTTTCAAAGGGTAGGTTAAATTTTCTAGAGAGAGCATCTCCTTGTAACATTTTGTTTTATTCCCACGGTGCCTCCACTAAAATCTTATTATTGGTTACGTGTAATTGATTATCTTCAAATAAGATACAATCTAGATTTATACAAATGCAAGATTTTCAATTTATTGCATGCATTTCATGTTTTCAACTATTTATGTATTATTTTTGGTATAAAAATATTAACTTATCATATGCATAGATCATTTTGCATTCATCTAAGGTAAAGAAAAATTGTAAAAATTATGAGTTTGTGATATACAAATTTGCGTTTATTTGCATGATTTTGTGCATTTTATTGAAGAATTGTATTAACAAAATCAATCATCAAAGCATTATGCATCACTTCATTAGAAATAATATACATTAAATTTATTATTTATTGCAAGATTTTCTATTCCATGTAAGAAAAATGAAATCAATCCAAGCTTCAACAATACTCTAAATAATAAATGTTACAAATGAAAACCAAAAATGATAGCCTATTTTTAACCCACGAGCCCCTAATTATTTAATAAAAGCAAAATTAGATTATAATTTATTTCTAAAAGTTTTTGCATATAAAACAAGTTATAGGTATTATTTAAATTCATTTAGTTATAATGTTAATAAAAAGCTAAAAAGAATTACAAAATTGGCATTATCGGCTGTTGAACCACAAGTGCCATAGAGATTGATAAAGTCGCTTTTGAGTGCTCATGTCAAGGTGCCGGTGTGACTTAATTAGTGTGATAATGATAGCCTACACTCTAAAATGACTATTTTCTAGAACTTTTCAGAATATTAAAAAAGAGGCATGCTTTTCAAGCTCCATGCTCGTCACTTTGGAAATAATTTAAGCATTTAAACATCTTTATATCTCAAGCTAAGAAGCTGATGAAAGTCACATTTAAAATCTTTCAAGTCTAATTTTCCAAACACTACAGGAAACTGTTGCATTAGCATCAGAATTAGCGTCGGGCATAATGTCGACTCAAAATTAGCATGAGATTTGCATCTGTGTAGCATCTTGTGCGGTCCCATGGATGAAAAAAATCGACGCAGACTGGTTCCGTCGAGATACCTACGCTAAGTTGGCGTTATAGCGTCGGAGTTATTAACTCCGACGCTACTAGTTACTTATTAACGTCGAAAAAAAACTGACACTACTATGATGCTAACGCCCTAATAATCTTGATCCCGAGCCACAGCCCTCAATTCTTCCTTTCTACTTCCCGATCGCAACTTCCTCCCCTCTGGCGCTCCTCCGTGTCAGCGTCGATTTTCGGCATCTACTGCTAGTTTTCACCACTCATTTTGTGTTTGATGTGTGGAATCTTCCTGTACGCCTCCTAACTTTGATTTTTTTCTCAATCAACGCATGTTTTTATGTTATTTTTGATTTTTTTTCTTCTAACATGTGCAAAAATTGAAATTTCGGTGTTAGACATGCAATACATAGAGATTAGGTGACTTTTTAAGTGGAATATAGAGTTCAGGTATTAGATATGTAATGCATATAGCTTGAATGATTTTTATGTAAAAAATATAGTTTAGGTGTTAGTCATGCAATACTTAGGTTTAGGTTTTGTGTTTAGGTGGTGTTAGTACTATTTTTGATGTGATATTAAAGATTTGAGTGCTATGTGTCTAAATATAAAAGTTTAGGTGTGACATATGTAAATACATAAGAATTTTGTCCTATGTATGTAAATGCCCCAAAAAAGTATGTGTTAGCTATGTACTGCATATAGGAGTTGTGTGGTTTTTTTTTTTTTTGGTGAAATGTACGGTTTATGTGTTAGACATGTAGGGGTTGTCTAGCAACGTATTCAAGATCGGATTTAGGTGGATTTCAAAAATCTTGTCAGACGGTCCATTTTGGACAAAATAAATATCAAGATGTTGTAAATCTCTATTTCATGTATTTCGGCTATAAATCCAGGATTTAGTAAATCCTGCGAATCAATAGATTTACAAGATTTAAGTTTGTCTATTGCGGATTTAAAATTGTATAAAAATGAATTTAATATATTAATTTAATGAAAATATGACACTCAATAAGACATGGAGAAAGAAGTTTCTTGTAGTCGGCCACCCTTAGTGGGAAAAATGTTTTGTTGTTTTTCCATATTAAACGTCGATCATCTAATAAACCTATTAGGATAGTAGATGGTATAAATATAACTTTTGTTAAAAATGGTAGAGAAAGACCTAAAAAGACAGGCACATTGTATACAAAATTATCTCAATCAGTTTGAATTAAACGAAAAATATGACACTCAATAAAACACAATGAAGAAAAAATACTCATATAGCCGACCCCAATAAATTTGTATGCATGTAATACATAAAATTCATAGTGTACTGATCTATATAGCTACATCTATACAGCAGATGAATATTCGAAACATGAGATCACAGTTCTATAACAAATTAGATCTAGGAAGAAAAGAACTTACTGACGAGTTTTTAGCTGGTGTTGATAAATTCGTGCAAGAGGCATCACAACTCCCTACTTATTTTCAGAAGGCAGGTTCTGATGCCCCCGTGCGAAAAACAAGAATCAAGCTTATCTGACACCCGATGAAGTGGAGTTGGAACTATACCAGAGGAGATTTGAACCTGATTACTGGTATTGGAATTCACATGATGAGTTTGAACCAAATGTTCAATACGGTCATGTTGGAGCCTCATCAAGTTATGTCGCTCCAACGATTCATGATTCTAGTGTGTATGATAAAATGATTGTTAATGCCAACATGGCTCATTTTATTGAAAGTGTGTCTGATAATGATCAAGAACCGAAAAGTAAGGCACAACAACTTTTGGAGAATGATACACTTCATATACGGAGTTATTGATTGCCCTGAGAATATTAAGTATCAAAGCCGATTTCAACATGTCAAGGGAACGTTACAATCAAGTAGCAACATTATTAAAGAAGATGAATCTATAAATAATTTAATTCCAAATGATTTGTACTGAACAATAAAAGTTAATATCGAAGTTAGCGTTACTATCTGAAAAGATAGATTGTTGTGACAACGACTGCATGTTATATTACAAGAAAGATGCACTTAATACGAAATGCAAATTTTGCAGTGTTGATAGGTTAAAACCAAGTTGGAGAAAGAATAAAAATCAAAAAAATATTCCTTACAAACATCTTTATTATTTCTCTCATTCCACAACTTTAATAATTATTTGTGTCTATGCATACAGCTCCTTGCATGACATAACATAATACAGGATCTGTTGGTGCTAATAAAATGACTTATTCTTCAGTTGATGAAGCCCGAAAACACTTCGATCGCAGTTATTCTGACTTCGCAACAAAGCCACATAACATTAGGCTTGATTATGTGCAGATGAGTGCACACCATACAATAACGCAGCAACCTAACGTTGGTCAATTATTATCATGTCATATAATTTATCTCTTGCTATGTGTATGGACTGTGTTATTCTTATTTCTAACGTCAATCATACCAGGTCCACATAGCCCAAATGGTATAATTGACGTGTACTTACAGCCACTCATAGATGAGTTGCAGGTATTGTGGGAAACACGTGTGTGTTGACTTATGATGTTACAACAAAACATAACTTTCACCTTAGAGCTACTCGTATGTGGACGATAAGTGATTTCCCAACTTATGAGATATCTAGTTGGATCACAGCCGGAAAATTGGTATGTCTCTACAGCAGGACATGCCCAAAGCATTCAGTTTAAATCATGAAAGAAAAAAATTCCTGGTTCAATTTTCATCGAAAGTTCTTAGCACGTGATCACCCATTTCAAAGGAATAGTGATGTATTTTTTCAGAAGTAAAACTGAAAGATCA